TTCATGTTCATTGAAAAATAATCGCATATAAAATCGCAATATTGAGGCAAAAATAAATCGCAATTAGAGTATTTTCCAAAATCATTCAGCCTTAATCCAAATAGTTTGTGAGGGTTTGTAAATAAACTGTACTTATATAATGCCTTTCTATCTGATCGAGATACTCAAAGCTCTTTACAACAATCTGTGCCTCATTTACCCATTCATACAGCTCTATACTAGATATCTACAAAGATTAATCAGAGCTTTATCACATTCATACACTGATGGGACACACATCGGAGGCAATGAGGGGTTCAGTGTCTTGCCCAAGGACACTTCAGCATGTGACTGCTGGTGGAATCGAACCCCCAACTCTCGCATTGGAGGACGACTGCTCTAACCACTCAGCCACAGGCAGAAACTCCCTCAACCCAAGTGGGCAAAGCTTGTTGCATTAAACAGACTAGAGGCTGAATCGCTGCCAAAAGGTGCTTCAAGTCAGTCCAAAGTAAAGAATCTAAAAACTAACAGAACTGCTTTTTCCTTTTTTTTAATAAATTTACTAAATTGCATTTTGTGTTTACATTGTCATTATGAGATACTGGAAGTAGACTGTTGAAAAAATTCACTTTTCACTGCTTTTTATATTGCGAGGGAGCTTTACAAAACTTTCATTTTAAACTTTCATTTCCACATTGAGCTGACAACAAACTGTCTCATCATCCCAGTCTGTAAATCAAACCAGTTTCATTCACCAACACCAAACAGAGGGAAACCATTAGGTTTTTAACAAAAAGCACGATCAAAGGCCTTCTTTTAAAACTACAAAAGAAGATTCGTTCAGATATAGCTAAATGTGAGTTTACAGCGTTAGAGGACAGTTTTCTGGTCCAGAGCCTGATGCCTGCGCTTCTGACTCAGGCCTCAACATGACGAGTGCTGCCTGCGTCTACTAACTGTGACTGAGAGGAGCGTCTCGTGCAAACGACAAACACCATTTCGTTGTTATTTATAGCCAGCTATTAGACGGCCATGATGTTTTCTTCCAAGTTTGTCTTTTGATTAAAAACCAACTACAAAAACAAGCGGTATGCTGATGTCCCTGTTGCTGAGGGATTTGAATACTAAACGTTTGTAGTTTCTGACATGAGTGTTTTTCTGGACGGGAATTGAACAGAGAATAAGTGAACCTTAATGTTTTTACTACAAGAAATTCAAGTGCATAGGAGTTACACTGTGGAGAAGAACTGTAGTAGTTTTTTGTTGTGATGTTTTTCTTGTCAGAGGCAGCAACGAGTGACAGATCCTGGTGAGTGGAGAGAGACATTTTAGCCAGGGCCATGTACAGTGGTGGAGCCAGGGGGTGGCCAATGGTGGCCTTGGCCACTATAGAGTAATCTTTGGCTACTCCAGACATTTGGAAACAATACTTTTAAGCAATTTAAAAACTAGAAAGTATAGTTTCCTTAAATGATTAAATGACAGGGTGGCCGCTTCACATA